GGGGAGCACAGAGACAAGGGATGAGAGATTGGTATCGGGCGTAACTTGTGCCGAGCGGCTTCCGCGGACTCCGCAGAGCAAGAGAGCGCACAATGGCCGCTCCAAAATTGAAACCACGCCTGGTTGTGCAAGTGTCTCCATGGTGCCCCCCCGCTCTTCGACGACACGGGTGCAATTCACAATCGAACAGCCCCGACCCGCCACTCACCGAAACATCTGGGTCTGGCATCAATCGGATCATGCTTCCAAGCCATCCTGTGGTGTTGGGTCCTCGTTGGAATCTGCAGCGCAGCCGCGTTCGGCTTGCTCCCTCCTCGTCCACCTCCTCCCCCCTCCCATCCTTGCCTCGCCCCGTCTTCGGCACGCACCTCACACGTTGCGTGGCCAAATAAGGAGCTCCACCGAAAGCCTCAGTGGCGAAGCCCGCATGCGCGCCCATTTCGCCACCCCTCGTAAGCTTCGTGGCTCCATATGCAGCGCCAGCGAATGCCCCAGTGGCGAAACCCGCATGCCTCCCCGAACCCACTTCGCCACACCCCTCACACGAGACGTGGCCCCATCAAGAGCTCCGCTGAAGGCCCGTCCCCGCGCCCATTTCACCACACTCCCCACACGTTCTGTGGCCCACGGAAGCAGCGCCACCGACCAGTGACAAAGACAGCACGCGTCCCCGCGCCTATCTCGACACACTCTTTACACGCTTCGAGGCCCCATGGGGAGCACCACCGAAGGCGCCAATGGCGAAGCCCGCATGCGTCCCCGCACCCATTTCGACACACCCCGCACATATTGCGAGGCCCCACAAGCCGCGCCACCGGATGCCCCAGTGGCGAAGCTCGCATGCGTCCCCGCGCCCATGTCGCCACACCCTATCACACGCTTCGTGGCCCGAAAGGGAGCTCCACCGAAGCCTCGGTGGCGACGCCCGCATGCCAAACCCCGCACACGTGTCGTGGCCCCATGGGGAGCTCCACCGAAGGCCCGGTGGCGAAGCCCGCATGCCTCCCCGCGCCCGTTTCGCCAAACTCCTCACACGTTTCGTGGCCCCATAAGCAGCGCCACCGAAGGCCCCAGTGGCAAAGTCAGCATGCGTCCCCGCGCCCATGTCGACACAACGCTAACACGTTTCGTGGCCCCACAAGCCGCGCCACCGATGCCGCGCCACCGGATGCCCCAGAGGCGAAGCCCGCGTGCGTCCCTGCGCCTATGTCGCCAAACCCCATCACACGCTTCGTGGCCCCGAAGGGAGCTCCACCGAAAGCCCCAGTTGCAAAACCCGCTTCTTGTTGTGTCCTTCGCCAGAATAGCTTTGCATGCCCTCGGCCTGCTTGACTGTTTTTGCTCCTGGTCGTCGGGGGGGGGGGAGCGGCTGCCAGGAAGGCATTCGCGCCGCGGGCGAGAAACCTAGCTTGTACTGGTGGGCGCCATGCAACTTAAAAAGGGATTTGGCGAACAAGCCAGGCTCACGCTTGTTTACCTCTGCGGCGCAGAGAACTACTTCGGAGGAAAGCTACCAGAGGTGCACGAACGTCCAGCGTTGCGCTCCACGCAATAACAACTTGGCCTTGGCGCCAAAGTTGCCCGAGGCTGGTTGTTCTTCTTCCGCCTCCTCGTCCTGGGCCTCGTCGTCACCGTCGTGGTCTTCCTCCACCCTCTGCCGCCAGCTCGAGCTGGGTGGAGCCGCCTTTCCATGAGCTAGGAAGCTGGCTGCATTGGGGCTGAACTCTCAGTCCCACCCCCTAGCCTCTGCGCACACGTAGGCGGCGCGCACGGGGGGGATGTCAGAGGCGGCGGGCCTTCTCAGAAGACAACGGCGATTCTAAAAAGCCCTCCGGCCTTCCGTGAAGCCCCCTGTGTCGTCGGAGAAGACTCAACAAGCTTGTCAAAGGCCGGGGGACTTCCGAGCCTGCTGAGAAAGCCTGCCCCCTCTCGGGCGCCTATTGGTTTTGGGTCATAACTCGCCGGCTCTCCTGCGGCCGTCCGGGACGATTCGAACACCGCGGGGACGTTCTCGGCGAGGTGCATCTGCTGTAAGGCATGCCGAGGCTGGAACGCATCCTAAAGCCGACGAAAACATCCGAAACCAACATCTCCTGGATTCTGGAGACACACGGTCCTCCATAAAGGAGAAAAAGTATCATAAACATAAATTTCTTGGGCTCCGTGCGCCCTTCATGGATCGGCGCTGGACCCCCACCCCAGGCGCGCGGAGCCCGCCAAGGGCGGCGCTGGAGGCGCGGCAAGGTAGGCCAAGCGCAGATCCGAGAAATTCGCGCGGAACTCTGAAAACCGATGTTCAAGCAGTTTTGTTCTTCTTCAACTCCGAGCACATGTTGATCCACCTTCTGTCCGATCTTGCCCCCTCGTCGGGCGAACTGCGCGCTCACAAGACCGCCAACCCCCGCGGGAGGCCACCGAAGGATGCGGAGGCGGCGCAGAGGCACAAACTGACGAGGGATGCGAAGGGGGGGCGGGGGATAGAAGGATGCAAGCCGAACCCAGGTCAGAGACAATCTCGAGCAGGGATGCATCGAAGATCTCTGAAACCCGACGAACCTGGAGGATGTATCGGGCGCCGCGGCCTTCTGAGAGCGTCCTGGCTGGCACCGTCCGACAACGTTCCGGAACGTTCTGGCACGATTTGGCCCTGTCCTAGCCCTGCCCGGAAAGGGCAGGGGGAGGAGGGAAGGGAAGGACGGAGCAAGAGGACGCGAGGGCGGATGGGGGTGTTAGCAGGCAACTTCGGTGAGGTCTTCGTAGGAACGATGGAGGGCTTATCTGCAAGTTGACGGACCACGGAACCGGATCAAGCCTGTTACAACCGGTATGAAACGGGATCAGTCAAGCGGCATTGCGTTGGATTATTCTGGATTTGGCCTGCTCCCGACCAAGGGTGCTTTCCAGCGTCGATGCTAAATTTCCTGTGGGGAGTTGCATCCTGACGGCCGAGGAGGCGCAGGCCCTGCACCCGCAGTGCTTCAAAGAGAGCGCGAAAGTCCGAGGCGCAGGCGAGCGCCAGGAGCTAGCTACACTGCAATCTCGTGCCTCGGTGCCCACTGGCAGGCCTGGGCTGGGTCAAATCGCGAAACCGAATTGGATCGTGAACGGATCGGACCGCCCGCGAATCGTCCCGAATGTAATCGAAATCGTCTGGCCCTGGCCGATGCAACACTCGGAATCGTGGCCCCGACCAGCCTATCGAATCGCACCGACTTGGATCGTAAGCATCCCTGATTGGTGGCCCTGCTATTGGGCAAGACACGATGCCTGCACCGGAGTCAAAGGGCACTGGAGGGCAACTTTTGGTCCGCGGGTGCCAGCAAAAAGTCAGACGCAAGTCCAGCGACGGAAGGGTCCCTTTGCAAACGAACTGGCCACTGGAAAGAAGTGGGCAGCGAGGAGGGAGGCGGAAAGGCGAGAACCGCGCTCCGAACGCGAAGTCCTTGAACGCGAGTGCCAGAGGTGCACAGCAACGTCGAAGAGCGCGTCCAGGATGGCAGGACGCGGTGCGTGAACCGTCCAATGAGAGCGGCGGGGGGCGGCGGGCGGCCCTCCTCCCAGAGGTGGAGGGAAGGGAGGGAAGGGGGGGAGCGAGGAACGAGGGGCGAACAGCGAGGAGGCGGACGAGGCGGAGGTGGAGGATCCTAGGATTCCAAGTGGGTCTGAACAGCCTTGCTGTCAGGTGGGGCGGGACGCCCGAGCGCGATCGATTCCTGGTGCTCTCCGTGCTGCGCTGGGTTTCGCTTCCAGCGGCCGTCGGCCCTCTTTGCTTCGCATAGCTGTGTGTTCGAGGGCGTCGCGGCGGGTGCTCCGACTTCCCAGTCACTTCGGCAACTGAGCATTGGCGATGCGAACGGCTTGGTGCCTGGGCTCAGTAAGGAACGGAGGGACCTTGCTGGCCACAGCGGGCCTCGGCCACGAATAGGCCCCACGACCGAAATCCAAGGGGCGACCCGAACACCGGAGCCCCTCCAGGGCCAAAGCTGGTCCTCCTTTCAGCGTCTTGACGATAGGTGATTGGCGCAACAACGATGCTGCCATGTATTGGCTTGCGATGGTTCGTTCGGGTGCGATCGTCGCCAGTGCAGGCGGCCCGCTTTACGAGACGTGGAGCGCTGGTCGGCATGCGCCCAAAACCCTGCAGGCCCTCTCCACGTTCGATCGATGGGCAAATTGTTCTCGGCGACGCTATGATGCGGCCGATGCTCCGATTCCTCGTCGCATACCCTCTGAATGGTACTGCTGCCGTGATGCGTGATGGGACACCCTGTCGAGCCCGTGTGGGACCCATCTGCTCCATCGTCCTGGCAGTCTGCGGAAACGAAGTTCGTGGCCCGTCCTATATCGCCGAAGAGTTCACGAATGCGCAGTGCAATTTCGATCGGGTTGGGCTTTCGAGACGCCGACCACTATCTTCGCCATCTATGGCCCGACCCTGGGTAGCAAGGCTCGGGCGATGCCTGGAAAAAGGGACCTGTCAGCATCGTGGGTGGCATGGGACGGGGCTGGGCCTGAAAAGGGATGGGAGTTTCAAAGCGACAGCCCCAGAAACGTACCTGCCTGAACTATGCAAGTTGTCAACGGAATGTGAGTGCTCTGGTGTTACGCCTTGGATGTCAGACGGTGCGCGCTCCCAAAAAGTACCGCCTGGTGCCGAACTGATCGGTTACAAGTATATCCATGCCATAGCTGCCAGCGTTGCCACGACTGAGCAAGAGTTGTACGCGGGCTGTGGGCCTGCAAATGTTGTGTAGCATCGTGCAACATGCATGTGCGAGTGCGCTTAGCACGCTTCGGTCTTGGACCCGTACACCTTATAGGAGGACTGCCAAACCCCAGGAGGAGCATGAAAAGGAGTCGAGGGAAGTATGATAGGAGACTAGAACTGCGATGCTGTAATAAAATGCTGAATGTACTGTTTAACTCTCCGTGCACTATACAGATATGCGTCGACGCGCGGGCCAAACACGACCCATCCTATTTGAGCTGGGATTGTGCGGGCGACCAAACAGCTCTGGCGGAGAAGAGAAACCCAAGGAAAAAGGAGGCCATAATTGTTCAACCATCAGCACATTCTAGACTCGGCAGGGAGACGCCGTCGGTGTCTGCCCCAACTGGCGCGCGACGCGGCGGGACGCGGGCCCACCCTCTGTAATTAGCGGGTAGCTCGCTCGTGTTCTTCAGAGCGGCACTAGAGGAGCTCGCGCGCGTGAGTGATGATGGTGCGAGGTATCTCGCGCCGCATGGTGCATGATGCTGGTGACCTCGGGCCGCAGACACGATGCCTGAAAGCCTAGGCAAACTGATGGCCCAGTGCCAAGTGAGGGGCGAGGTGGAGGTGCAGTGCCTCAACCTGGTAGGTGCAAGGGAAGGCGATGGAAGAAGATGCACGCTGGGGGATGCGCGCACTTTTTGGCGCGACCGCCTCCCTCTCGGGCCGTCGTGGCACAATCTCGGGGGGGCTCTGGGGCTGCGTCGGGCCGTTCTTGCCCGAGAAGGCGAGGGCCTGCAAAACCTTGACAAACCTAAGGGCAACGATGGTTTATTCGACCTTCAACACTTTGGGGGGTCCTCTCGGGTGCCGCTTGGGGTGTCTTGGAGGCCTCGTGGGCTGTGCTGAGGCCATCCTGGGCTATCTTGGATCGCTCTTGGGCCGTCTTCGGCCCCGTATGGGCCTCTCTCACGCCGCGTTGGAAGTGCCTTCGGCTGGCGAGGAGCTCATGCAGGTAGGGCGGGGCCAAGGGCGCCCCCCGGGCGGCGAAAGCCACACTCTCGTATGTTTCGCCCCCCGCTTAGACCGCCCATCGCTGCCGGGGGGGATTCGGGTCTTGGGGGCCTCTTGAACCGCGTGGAGACCGTCGTGGGCTATCTGGATCGCTCTTGGGCCGCCGTCGGGCCCGTCTGGGCCTCTCTACGCCGTCTTGGAGGCCGTTGAAGCCGTCTGCGGACGCGCAGATGTTCGAACGCGTCTGGGGCCCACCTTAGGGGCATATTGGGCCATCTTGGGGCGACATTGCGGGCCTCTGGCCTCTTGGGTCGTCTCTCTCGGAAGCATTTTGGGCCGTCTTAGAGGGCGCTTGGCCTCTCATGGGCTGTCTTGAAGGTACTTCAACTTGACAAGGACTTGACGCGCATGCGCGAAGCCTGCGCGGAGCTTACGCGGAGCTTGCGTCGCCGCCCGTCGCGGGCCCTGGCGTCGAGAACTTGTTGCACCACCGCTCTCTGTTGTGAGCCTTGGTCTCGTCAGCTTGTGCGCGTCACTGCTCGCTCTTGGGAACCGCGGTGTTCGGAGATGTTTACGTTGCCGCCGTTGGGCCTGGGCGTGCACTTTCCCCGCTGGCGGTCCGCTGGCACGGAACAGCGCGTCCGCCGCCCGATTTCCCCTGTGAAGCACCATAGTGCCCCTGTGTAGTGCTCCGTTAACAAGGGGAAGAAGTGCCCGAGAGAGCAATTTCCCTGTTGACGGTCCGTCAACGCGGAAACGGGCGGGCCAGTAAAGCACCCGATTTCCCCTGCTAAGGGCCCCGCTAACAAGGGAAAGGGCGGGCCAATAGACCCTGCAATGCAAATCCCCCCCCCCCCCCCTCGGACCCCCCCTAATTTCATTTCCTCCGGCTAACGGATCGCACGCTACGCGCGCTTTCCGCCATCTGGATGTCGCCGCCGCCGGGCATGATCCGCTCGCGTTGACCCGCGTCCAGGATCGCGAGAGTGGACCCCATGCTGCGCCGGCCGAACAAGCCATGGAGGTCACTGGCCGATCCTCTTTCTGACGACGGGCTGTGGAACTGTGAAAAATACCTGTGCCCCAATTCATCCGCGACGGAAATGGGGTGCTCGCCTGTCGGGTGCATTCTTGGGCCCCGTTGTTCGCTCTCTGAATGCAAGAAGGCTTGCTCGCGGGGGGCCGCCGCGGACGGCGCTTTGCCTCGACGGCTCGGTGGTCCACGCACCTGGGCCCACGATGGCGCTCAGCTCGCCTGAAGGGGGCCGGGTGCGACTGCGATGCGCCTGAGCGGCGCGCTCGCTTGCCGGCCCGACCTGCGGCGAGCCTCGAGGCGACGGCTGCCGCTAGGCGGGCGCAGAAGTGCCGTGGGCGACCTCGCCGATCGGCGCGTCTCGGGGTGTGGTCAGGACCCCGTCAGCGCCGGGGGGCGCGTCCTCGTCGGGCGCTTCGCGGGGCGCGGGCGCCGCGCGGGCGTGCGCGACTTCGCGCGCTGCCAGGTCGCCGCGAAGTATTTTTTGTTTCAATTGCTTGCGCCCGGGCGTCGTCGAAACAAGTGGCGGCGCGGGCGTCGGCGCAGCTCCGATGGGAACGTCAACCGCATTGAAGGATGGCGGCGAGATCCAGGTTGACGCAATGGTCCGAACAGATGCCGCACATCTCAACGGCGTCAAATTAAAATCGCGTAAGTTCTGACTCTGCGCGTCGTTCCGACGGCAATGACGGCGGCGCGACGGGTGGAGGCCCAGCCGCGGCCACGCCGCCAATCTGTCGGGTGCGCCCACGTCGGCGGGCACGCCGTTTATTCATCTGAGCGTCGTGGTCGGACTCCAATGTGGCCCGGGGACAGCCGAGTGGATATCCCCGGGGCCAAGTCGCGGCGCTGCTCTCTGTCTGGCAGGGTCGCGCGCGCCAGCTGGCCCTCTCGTCGGCGCGCGAGTTGACCGAAGCCGCCGATGCGAGGGGTGGAAATCCGCTGGTCATCAGGAACCGCGAGCGGGCCCGTCGGCAGGATGATGACGCCTGCGCTGCACTGTTGCTCGATGGGGCTCATCTCGCAGGGACCCACTAGTGCTGCGGTCCTCCGTGGCGCGCTGGCGGAAGGACGAGCTCCGTCGGTAGCTGCCGCCAGTTCCGCGGCGGGGTGGCCGCGCCGTGGTCCTGGAATGGCGTTGCAATTCTGACCATCTGAAGTGGCGCCAGGACTGCTGGCGCGTCGGTGCACGCGCGGCTCTGGGCCCTGGCGAGCGAGGCCGCTGACCGCGAGCCGTGGGCAAATCCAGGCAGCTTCCGGGGGCCGTCGGCGGATGGCTGCGCGGGCGCGGCGCTGCTGCTTGGCCGCGGCCGAGGAAGGCCCTCAGCGACCGCGAAAATGCAGCTCGGAAAGCCCGGCGGCGCCGGCAGCCCAAGGGTCGAGACCGCGAGTGTGCCAGGGGCCATGTGCGTCGTTGATGTTGTCATTGGCCATGCCCACGAAACCTCCGGATGACGGCGGCGCGCGAAGAGCGCTGGCGATGTTGTTTGCTGCGTGCTCCACGCTATGACCCACGTGATTGGGCATAGTCGTGCGACTGCTGAACTCGGCCGCAATGGCTGGGCATCGATTGCCGTAGGGCTGGGGCTGCGTCATGAGCTGGCTGGCTGCGACGGCGGCCGCTCGGAGGAGCAACCAGTTGTAGCCTTCCCAAGACATCGCAGCTACACCGTTGTGGGTAGCTCGGAATCGCAGAGTCGGAGAGCACGAGAGCAGCGCGTCGGTGGTTTCGTTGCGTCGCCACGAGAACTCAAAGATTTCGCGGGCCGCCTGGAGGCGCGACTCCTCGCCTAGTGGGTCGAACTGTGTGGCAAGGTTCGCGATGAGATAGTTCCCCGCGTCCTCCCGCTCGCCGTTAACCATGCCTCCTTCCGTCATTTCTCATTGAGCGCATGCACTCGCGAGCGGTCCCACCGAGGTTTTGAGGATGACGACAGGCCGCGCACTGTCGGGCGTTATTTCTGTCGGCGGCTAGCACGCTCCAGGTGAGCAAGTCCTGTACACAGTGGCGGAAAAAAAGATACATGGACTCGCTCTCGGGGGTGACCGTGAGGCCGGCTGGCGGGACGTGATCGCACCGCGGCCGCCACCGCCCTGCGGGCTGGCTCCACCAGGCACATGCTGGTGAGCCAAGGGAAGACGGCCACGAAAAACACGAGGATACTGGCACAGAGCGTCAAGATGGATGTCATCCTCGATAAGACATCGCTACGATGATGGTTGGGTAGGCGCCTCGAGGCTCGAGCCTGCGCATGGACGAGCGCTATGTCGAAGTGCGGGGCATACATGATGATGCCGTCAATGTTGGTCTAAACCGAAGTCGGCGAAACTGGTGCATGAGCCTTCACTCAGTGAAGGCTCATGCACCACTGTTCCCCCGGGTGGTGCAATGCGGCCACGAAGGCAACCAACAGTATCGCACACGTACTGAGGCACGGCGCTGGCCCAGGGAACCTCGCAGTCATGCCCGACGCGAAGCTGCGGCCAATGCCTGTGAAGTTCCGATGGGTCGAGGAACGACGTGGCGCTCCTGTGGGCGAGTCAGTCCTCATCGCGGTAACGCCTTGTGCTTTCGCCCTCGCAATCGGACCGGATGTCCGATGCGAATTGCCGAATAACTTGCAGAAACAACCATCAGCACAGGCTGCTCAATGAATGGAGGGTGGTACCGATGCGGACGTGAAGGTCAATGCGAATGTGCGTCCATTCCGCGTTCTTCGCACTTTCCGTGGATCGCGAGCTGAGATCGCTCCCAGCTCCTCGACCAACTAGAATTGCGGGGGGTGGAAGCTGCACGAAAGAAAACATGACGGCAATGAAATGTTGCATGAACTGTTTGAGTTTCCGTACAATCTATCGATATGCGTCGACGCTTGGGCCAAACAGCAGCGACCCCTCCTATCTGACTGCGCGGGGTGGATGGACAACTGACAAAAAGGAGGGAAGGAGGAGTTGGAGGGGAACGAGAAGGCGGGAAGGAGGATGGCAAGAAAGGACGGAGGAAGAGGAGGAACAGGAAGGAAAAGGAGGAGGAGGAGGATGACGAAGAAAGCCAGGAGCAGGAGGATGAGGAAGAGGACCAATGGAAACCCAAGAGCCATCCACGATGTTGGAATAAACCCTCCCTCCCTCCACGCTCCCTCCTCATAGGCCCCTCACAAGGTTGATTTCCACTGAAGAAAGTGCCCCAGTGGGAGACAACAGCTTGAAGATCCGAAGCGTGCCAAAACAACAGTTCTCGTGCCCTGAACGTCACGATACAACTTGACTGTTGCGTCTTGGCGATCCAGTATCGTGCCAGACAGCTATTCTTGGGACCTCAACACCGCGAATCAACGTACTTGTTGCGCCCTGGCAAGTCCGAATCGCTCCAAAACGTAATTTCTGGTACGTTAACCATGGGAGACCGTGAAACTTCTGCAAATGTGTAAATCGAATGCGCATTGCGCAAAGGCGAGAGACACATTTTGAAGCAGTACCGCCCTCCATCCGTGAACCTCTTTCACCTTGTTTAACGAATGCGCGCGGCGCTCAGGCGAGAACCACATTCTGAAAACGGCCCACCCTCAATACGTGAAACTCTTGCAAATGTTTG